AAAAGGGGTTTTTTTTTTTTTTTTTTTTTTTTTTTTTTTTTTTTTACTTGATCCTTGAAATTCTGAAATTCTTTTCTCTGTGTATCTTTTCTTGAAAACTATACATAATTGTGAAGTTGTATTTACTTGATTTGATTATTAATTATAAGTTATACAAGTGTTGGGACCATATATTTTTGTTTATTTGCAATAATTGCTACCAAAACAATTAATCTCTGGCAAACATTAAATTGAAGATAATGTTAAAGTAAACCAACACTCCAGAAACATTAAGAAAGTACAAAAAAAGGTTACATTTAAACATACGCTATTGGGTTGAGTTGAATAGTTATACGAAATCAATTAAATAAAATGATTATATGATAAAATTTACTAAGTGCCTATTTGGTTTTGATAAAAAATAGATTTTAATATATTTTTGAAAAACTTTGATGAAATGCGTGGTTGAATAATTTATAAATATTGTGGGTCCCGTAAAATTTGTGATTAAAAATAAATTTGGAGAAAAATAAATTTTAAGATATTGGAGCAAAAAAAAAAAAAAAAAATACTGAGAACATGTTTGGTATTGGTTTTTAACTCCAAAAAATTAATTTTTTGAACGTTATTTTACTATTCAAGCTGTAATTTTTTACTTCTTCTCTTATAGATAGGACTTACTTTTCTCTCCAATGATCAAAAAATCAATTCTTAAAATCACTATTGAACAAGCCCTAAATATTTATCAAAGAGCCGAAAAGTGCCTTGCTATGAACTCAAAATATGATTATTTGATTTTATAAACTATACAAAACTTGAAAATAACCTCATCTACGTACTTGATAATTGGTACGTAACAGCATTAATAAATAATTTAGTTGTTAATTATTTATTTATTATTATTATTATTTTTTAAAGAAGTCGTTGAGTGTAAGCTCCCACAGCCGTGCATATGGGATAATGTTGTCACATTAATTATCCATTGTCATTATGTGTCCTATTTATGACTTCAAAAATCAACAACGTCAGGTAACCTAGTCAATTGTATCGAGAACATTAAAATGCACGAATTAATTAGAATATATTTGGTATGCCACGTTAATCATGTAACAAAATTTATTAAATCTTATCCACGATTGGCCTAGTTATGCTATAGTATTAAAGGTTACATACATAGAGTTGTATTCAAATAAGAAGTATGAGCATGATGTAGAAGTAGATGTAGATTTTTGAAGCACGAGAAGGGACTTAAGTGGATAAATGAAGAAAGATATGACACGTAATTGCCATTAACGGAACCAATCATGAAAGCAACTAATAGTGTTTTTCGAATTATAATTTAAAAAAAAAAAAATTGCAACTTTTGTTAGCTTTAAAAACACGATGTCAAAATATCTTCTATCACATTTTTGTATATTTGAATATTATCTGCACCATTTAGACACAAATCATTAGACAAAAAGATCGTCGCATCAAGAAAAAATGTCGACAACTGTTGACACTCTAATTATCAAGTCATCAGTCATTTTGACTAGAGTAACAAGAATTGTGAACCTTTACTTTTACCCGTGCAAGGCTATTTATAGGTGGGAGTTTTTTATTTTATTTTTCCTTTTTTATTATTATTATTATTTTTTGTTATCGGTGGAGTTCATGTAGAATTAATAGGTTAGGATGTTGCAATCCTGATTCACATGTTAAACATTGATTAATTTGAATCTTTCGTGGTCTCCAAACATTCTATGCGGATTTTTAGTGTTGACAAGGAGATTTCCTGGTACAGTGTATCCTCTCAAGATACAAACCTATTGTTTTGTAATATCGTGGATTGCTTGGCAAAGGCACAATGCCTCATTCGAATGTCACGTCCGCCATACCTATCGTAGCTTCATCACTAGGCTTCCCATGAGATGGGGTTCAACAGAGGAGTAAGGCTTGATCATATTGACTATTCATGTAAAGATCATATGAGATGATGTGATACTGTTGAAGACAAATTTTGCACGTCAAGTTGCCTCGTATCAATTAGGCGAAGGATGTGGGACAGTTTGCTTGTTATTATAAGTCCACGAGGCATCGAATAATTAATAAAATATAAGTGATTACCGCATTTTTGTCTTTCCTTATATTTTCAATTTTTTTTCCCTTGTATTTTAAGATTTAGTAAACAAATACTATTGGAAACCCAATTTGTTATACGTATATAAACTTATCAGTTATAAACTTTTAAATGTTGAATTGTGAAATCATTTATTATTTATTATGCTGTCACCAAGAATATTACCTGGCTTGATCCTGTAACGCAATCAACATAATTTAATGATGTAACAAAAAATAAAAATAAAATTGATAGAGTGTACTTGTAAAATTCTTAGGTGGCAAGTTCTGTCTACCAGTATATCATTAAAGTCAAACTAGTGGACAAAAATAAAAATTCATCCATATACATGAGAGTTCAAAATTTTGACATGTCGCATCATTTCATTAATTTAATATTTTTTTTAAAAAAAAATTAGTTTTGAAAACGACATCAATATTGACATTAGACAAATAAGTACGCAGATAAAATATTAACAACTAAGATATTAGTATTTTTATTTGCCAATTAATAAGATTAGACGCAATAACTTAGATAGAAATAAAAGAATATATTCAATAACCCAATTAAAATTAAATTATAAGTTGGAGATTAAAATTTTAATTATCTAGACTAGACTAGACTAGACGTGTGAAGTTACAAATATGCATCAAACACGAATGTATCAAAATTCTTTCTTCCGAATTCCTTTTTCGGTACGCCTCCAATAGCAAGGAGTGAGGGAAAAAAAAATTGTTATGTTATCATTCAATGAATTTGCAAAGGACTTTGCTACTCGTCCAAGACCACATGAATCCTGGACGAACGGGGGACGCATGTTGACAAAACCCACCTGCAAAATACATTTTAAAAAAAAAATAGAGATTGAGTGAAAGAATTTAGTGGAGAAAATGTAATAATTAAATTCCTGTGACTTTTGACCGCTCATTCTTTATATTCTTATACGTAGAGCTTACGAAATTAATTACAGTATTGTATCTTCTTCTTTTTTTATTCTGACATTTAACGACTGTTTGGCATGGTATATATGTTCTGTATCAACATAAAATACAGATTTAATTTTTATTTTAACTAAAACAGAGTGATAATTAATATTAAATTTGAAATCTAATGAGTTGGAAAATAAACACGAATTTTTGTACAGACGAGCTTTACTCTTTCGTCGCGTGTTGCATTTTAGTAGGCCAAGCGTGTTGTCGCCTCATCGGCAAAAAAATTATCTCATTACACTTCGAATATTTATGGGTCGGGTTTTTAAAATGACCACGTTAAATACTCTATTCAGCACATAGGCCTAACTTACTAACTATTCACCACAATGACCTTTTTAACATTAAAAGACAAACATACCCTTCATTTCAAAATTAAAAAGCGGGACTTCTCGACCCGGACTCTCAATCCAAACCATCGAGACCCTGAATCCCCAGAAATAGTTAACAAATAACGGCTTTGCTGTGATTTCTTCA